CACACACACACACACACACACACACACACACACTTCATTCTGACACATCCTTCAATGCTGATGATGAAGCTCTAAAGCTCTAGGATATTGTGCTCCTGTCATAAAGTAGCTATAAAGTGCTATATGAGTCCACCTCATTGAGGAACCGAGAGTATTAACCTGGAGACAGAGTGGAGCGGAGGTGGACAGGGGTGAGGTGGATGGCATTGCTTAGTGGGTTCCATTAGCTGGACAGGATGGGGACAGTGCACAGCAATACAGGGGAATTTAACTTCACTGAACTGTCCAACTGTTAAGATGGTAGATCATTATTTGTAATAAACACAAAGAAAAGCTAAAGGAAGTATAAACTACTGTTAAAATTAGATAAACTTTTTGAGTTATGCTGAATGAAAAAAATCTAAGTCCAAATATATAATACACTGTTAGTTTCTATTTATACAACATTCCTTTTGTTTGTTTGTTTTTGAGACAGGGTTCTTTGTATAGTCCTGGTTGTTTGGAACTCTGTAGACCAGGCTGTCCTTGAACTCAAAGATCCACCTGCCTCTGCCTCCCAAATGCTGGGATTAATTAAAGGCATGTGCCACCACCGCCCAGCTACACCATTCTTAAAATGGCAAAATGACAGAGTGGCTCTGAGGGCTGGAGGCCAGGAGTAGGAAGAGTATCTGTAAAAAGGAGAAGAGGAAGCGCTTTATCTTCATTGCACCACAGACATGTCCTGGCTGTAACACTGTATTACATACAGCATTGCAAGATGTGACATTCTAGAGCAAAGGGTATGTGGGGATATCTTGGTATCATTTCATACATTTGTATGTGAATCTTAATTTTCCTCAAAATAAACATTTAATTTTTCAAAAACAGTCTTAGTATGTATATGATGTATGAGTAGGCACACCCACACAGTAGAGGTGGAGGAACACTTGTGGACTTTCCTCTCTCCTCCCACCCTCAGGTGGGTTCTGGAAATCCAAATCAATCATCACACTTGGAAAACAAGCCCTCTACCACTGAGCTATCTCAGCAGTTTGTAAAAGTTTACTCTTTAAAAGTTAAATACATCTTGGGCTGGAGAGATGGCTCAGCCGTTAAAGGCTAGGCTCACAACCAAAAATAAAAGTTAAATACATCTTTTTTTTTTTTTTTTTTTTTTTTGGTTTTTCGAGACAGCATTTCTCTGCGTAGCTTAGGCCGGCCTCGAACTCACAGAGATCCGCCTGGCTCTGCCTCCCGAGTGCTGGGATTAAAGGCATGCGCCACCACCCCCGGCAAAAGTTAAATACATCTTATAGAAAACTTCAGACAATTAAAAGCCAAGTAATTTACAGCTTAGCCATCAGCATGTATATTTATACATTTCTTTCTTTTTTTTCCTTTTTGAGACAGGTCACACTGTGTAACCCTGGCTGGCCTAGAACTCAATACATAGACCAGGCTAGCCTAGAACTCACGAGATCCACCTACCTGCCTTTCTCCTAATTCTGGGATCAAAGGCATGTGCCACTACAACCAGCACTGGCATGTCTTTCTAGTAGGAAACCAAGGTCTGTTTTAATGAGCTCCTTTAGGGGGTGTGTAGTTTTACTCTAGCTACTAAGCTAGTCCAAGACAACCAGTTTAAAATGCTAAGAAAGCTATACAAATGAGAAGTCCCAGGCCTCCCTGCCTCATGAGATGGCCATCCCAGGCAAGATGTACATTTTTAACTTTTCCTCCACAAACTGCCTACTCTGTGTGCCCACTCCCCTATATCACTTCACTTTTCCAAGGAAAAAATGTATATAAATTAAGTAATTCACAATCAGAATGTCCCCTGGGAAGATTTTCTAATTGTTGGTGGAATTTTGGAAATTTGGTAACTTAAGCTTCAGAAAAGTATCTAAAAATACCTTTAGTTCTTTACATTTCTGCCCTATGGAACTAGAGATGTGACTAGTTTTGCTACCCTTCAGCATGGTTGGAGTGTACCTGCAATGCTACACAGAGCAGTAGTGAGGGTGTTTTCCCTACCAGGCCCCAACTGGGGAGTGCTGGGTTATAATTAGAGATGGTGGCACAGTTTGGCAGCCCTGTGATCTTACATTCCTATCCATTTCCATCACTAAACTGATTTGTAATCTCCTACTTTATTCACCAACAATTTACATGATAACATTTTCCCCACCTCCACCTCCAACTTCTTTTTAATCCATACTTCTGTAAGGTAAAATAGCCAGCTATCCACAGAATTTGAATTGATGCTCTGGGATAAGAATCCTTGGAGAATAAAGAACACTTCTTTTAAAGGTTTCTATTTCTGAGCATCACAAGAATGGAGTCTGGAAAGAGCAGTTCTCTCTAGGCTCACTATCAGGTTTCCTAGGGAAGTCTCTTCTTCTGTTTATTCACATTGTCTACACTTTCTTGGTCTATTCCTCAGGAATGGACTTCTCCAAAGCCCCATCTCCTCTCATACCCCAATTGTTTTATCTTTCCAAAGCAGGGTCTCTTGGAGGTCAAACACCTCTTTTGTCGTGGTGTCTACTTTCTGCTGGAGGCGCTGATTCTCCTGAAGAAGGGGAAGGAAATAATAAAAGCAGAAAGAAAAAGCAAGGACATTAGAAGAAGGAAAACAGAATGAGAAGGAGGCAGATGAATTTTAAAAGGGGAGGGGGGAGGTGACAGCCAGTGTCTCACTGCCTTGTCCAGCAGTAAGCAAGGGAGGCAGTGGGACAAGCTGAGAGTGTGCTGAGTGTGCACTGGCCCTGGGTTCCAGCACCAGCACAAGAAAAGGGGGCGGGCAAATGTCTGAAAGGGTCCTGGGACAAACTAACTGTCCCAACAGCAGCTGAGGCAGCTGGCCAGCTGCGGTCCTGCCGACACACAGCACTCCTCTGTGTGCGCCCTTTCTACCCAAACACGGAACGCTTGTATTTGCCAAAGGAAACTTGCGTTTACTTGTGAACAAACGATCCTTTACCACAGAAAGCAAGCTGAAGACTTGAATGGTGTTTGGTAAAGCAGAACTAAAAAAGGACAGATATGTCTTCAGCCTGATCACTCTGGTTTTCTGTTGGCTGAAATATCAAGAATATCATGAACTGTAAGAGAAACATGAGTTTTTAGCAGCTCTCAAACTAGTCTTCTGATGGGGAATGATGGCATCCTAGTTAGCACAGACACAGCCTAGAATCCCCTGGGGGGAAAGCCTCAGGCGAATAACTGTCTTTATCAGGGCTGGAGCATGTCTGTGAGGGATTGTCTTGATTGCTAACTGATGTGAGAGGCCCAGCCCACTCTTCACTGCTGGGCAGATAGTCCTGGGCTGTATAAGGAAGCTGTATGAGGAGTGTAAGCCTCAGCCTGTCAGTGAGCTAGCCATGGTTTCTTGTGCACTTCCTTGGCTCTGAGTGAGCTCCCTAGTTGGAGATAATGCTGTGTGGAACAGCAAACAGGCCTGCTTTCAGGTGCTTGCCCTGACTTCCCTCAGTGATGGACTGTGACCTGAAAATATATGAAATAAGTCTGTTTTCCACCTAAGTGCTTTTGGCCATGGGTGTTACCACAGCAACAGAAAGGCAACCAGAGCAAGTGGCTATCCTGGACCTCTTACCGTGTTCCCCATTTGTCACTGACAAATTACCAGCAACATGTTCCCACTCACACACTCTCCACTTGATTGCGCAAATCTTCATTCTGGAGACCCAACGGCATTATGTGTGATACTCAGTTTTCAGCCATGCATGACCAATAGCTACTGATATTGAAAGGCACAAAAAGACTAAGGCTTTCAAAGTTTGTACCTAGCACCCTAGGCTTGTTTTTCAAGAAAACATGGTGATAAATTACAGAATTCCAGCCTTATATCTATCCTCTCCTGTGTACTTCCTAATACAATAATAATGCAATTATCATTTATGTTAACAATGAAAACGGAGGCAGTTAACCACAGCAGGGGTGGTGCACGTACTGCGCTGCTACAGACCACCATCCTTGACCCTGGGATGCTGGAGTGTGGTGCAGAGCTTCTCCACCACAGACAGCTGAGGTGCTGCCACACATGGGGAAGACCTGACAACTTCCTTTTCTTCAGCTACCTCAAATGCATCAACTGGAGTGGAGATCAAGATTCTTACTCCTCAAGAATCACGTCCCACAGGATGCCATGCACTAGGACCCAAAGAATAGACCCTATAATGCTTCCTTTTCCAGCATCTCATGATATCTTCAGGGAAAAGTGCTTAAGAATACAAGATACTGGTTAAAAGTTCTGCTATTAAAGGGGGGATTTTATAGAATGTGTGAGCATTCACTCTTTAAACTTGCCTTTATATTTCATGTTGGAAAATTTTTGAGAGAGACACTGTTTACATAAGTAAACTCTTTATAGCAGCAATTCTCAACCTGTAGGTTTGGACCCCTTTGGGGATTAAGAGACCCTTTCATGGGGGTTGCCTAAGACCATCAGAAAGCACAGATATTTATATTACAGTAGCAAATTACAGTTATGAAGTAGCAATGAAATAATTTTATGGTTGAGGGTCACCACACCATGAGGAACTATAGTAAACGGTCGCAGCATTAGGAAGGTTGAGAACCACTGCTCTACAGCATTGTAATATTCTCCCAACAAACACACCACCACCCTATCCAATTCATCTATTTTTCAAAATTAAGTATTTCCACAGTTCAAATACATACCTCAATGAGCTCGTCTCTCTGCCGAAGGCCTTCTTTGAGTTCATCCATTTTATGCTGCAGCACACTGCACATATGTTTCTGCCTTTCTAACTCCTGTTATTAAGCAAATGATATTGTTATAAAGTCAAGGGCTACAAGGCCGAACACATGTAATTTAACACCGAGACCAAGTCTGGCTTCCAGACCCAGGCCTGCATGGATGACTTGCATTTGGTAGAAAGGGTCACACTCTACATCTCCATCCTGTTTGATGAGGGCAAGAAAGGCAGCAGAAGGGACAGCAACTTGTAGGTACTTCTTAAAAATGAGTAACTGCAGAGTAAAGGAAACTATTTTAAATGATTCCACTATCTAAAACCAGTAAAGGGTAAGTGGGGTAAGAGACCACATAAAAATTACAATTTTTAGAATAGCAAAAGCTACCACAAAGTAAAGAGAGGAATGACAAGCTACACAAGAAATTATAATTTATATTCTGGGACAAAGATTTATTGCTACTTTTCCATTTGGAGAACTCCTAAAATAAGATAATAAAATAACAACAAGAACACAAACCACTGGCAACATGGAAAACCAGGCTAAAGCCCAGGAAACGAGACAGGGACAGCTCCACCGTCAAACATGCTCCAGGGAGAGAAAGAAACACAGTAGCTCCCGTGTGCCGTCCCCCGTGGATCCACCCGCCATGGCTCTCTATCACAGACACACTGCTAAAACCACAGAACTATCCAAGCAGCTCCTTGTTGTGCCGGCTGACTTCTGGACAGCAAGCACGTCCGCAAACTGGGCGCTAGTGGAGCAGTGTCTGCACAGAGGGGTAGCCAGAGCTGGAAGGAGTGAAGATCTGTGTGTCACAAGCAGAACAGCATTTACAGTGGGCTGCTATTTTCTAAGAAAGGAGGGCCACAAACACATGTGTTTAGATGCATTTCAAGTGCTGTGTGTGTTTTTAATCAACATTGGCTAACATATCTTCTTGGCTTATAAAAATAAAGGATGACTCACTAAGCATAAAAAGAACTTCCTGGGGCTGGAGAGATCACTCAGCGGGTAAGAGCACTCGCTGCTCTTGCAAAGGACCTGAGTTTGGTTCCCAGCACCCACGTGGTGGCTCCCAGCCATCTCTAACTCTAGTTCCAGAGGATTCAATTCCTTCCTCTGACCTACACAAGCACCAGGCATGCATGTGGCACACAGACATGCACAAAATAAAAGGAAAGAATCTTTTGAAAAACAGAAGTAAAATAAAAAAGAATTCCTCCAAAGAAAGAGGAAAATGAGGATGAGAAGAAAGATAAACTGAATTCATTTCCTTTGACTTCATATCTACCTATTTTTACCTAAGTCAGGCAATTTAAAGCCCAGTTTCTATTAGAAACAACCCAAATACCTGGCAAAGAGGAGTGGATGGGTAAAGTGCAGCGGAGACCCGGGGAACAGTGTTCAGCCTTTGAGAGAAGGAACTCTTATCATGAGCACTGGGGACTATATTATAAGTCAGTCACAGACTGAAGAAGGCAGGATGGGGGCTGCTAAGGGCCTGGGAAAGGGCCAAATGTCCCTATTTATTTAACTCTTTAGAGTTTACTTTTGCAAGATAAAATGTACAGATTTCACACACAACATAAATATATATAACATCCTACTGTGAATGACACCCTTTAAAATGGCTAAAATGGTAAATTTATTGTGGTGTGATTTTTACCATAATAAAAGTTTTGTTTTTTTTTTTTAAATTAAACTATTCCAAGTATCTTTTAAAAAACATATTTTGGCTATGCATAGCCTCTGTCCCAGAGTAAAGGCCAAGCCAAACACTATGACTCCTTTCAGTAACTACACTGGTGTGACCTAGTCTTGCTCTGTTGAGTGACCTGGAATAAAGCAGTAAGAATTAGACGTTGCAGTGTGGCACAAAGGAGATGGAGAATGGAGGGACTGAGGACAATCCCTAGAGTCATAAATATAAACTTGATCCATCACAGCACAATGTATTTTGTCATATAAGCAAACAAAAAACCCCACATACATTATTTCCACTAAGGGGCCTATGAAGTGATCGACTGAGCAGCAAGAGCAGGCCAGGCCCGCAGGAAGAGATGGAGGACTGCTTAGACAAAGGATGGATCCAAAGATAAGGCCAAAGCATGTTCTTCTGTCAGAAAGCATGGAGGCTCTCAGTGAGCCTCCCAAAGAACTTGAGAATCAGCCCAAAAGAAGCTCACAATAGCCAGAAGTGGTAAAATCTGAGCATCAAAAGGAACAAAAGCTGTCACACCCAACACTGAATTCAACTTCATAAAGATACTTTTGATGAAGACGATTGGTCACTGTGAGGGCATAACAACTCCTTATTTTGAAACTATAAAGGCAAAGGAGTCTTTATCTTGACTTCCAAAACTATGCAAATTGTCTATCTAGGTAATAAAGATGAAGATCCTCTTTAAAGATGGACATGATAAAAAGACAAAAAAAGATGTCTGTAAGCTAATAAACAAAGAATAAGAAGTTAAAAAGAACCACAGAAATGGTGGAAGATACCTGTAAATCATTTATCTGGTAAGTGACTTATATCTGAAATATAGTTTTATAACAATAATAAAAATTTTTAAATGGGCGATTTCAAGATAAACCATAAGGCCATGAAAAGATACTAGAAACCCTTAGTTTTATCAGAGAAATGCAGATCAAAGCCACTACGATGACTAGACGTGGCAGGCAGACGTTAGTAAACACTGGAGAGGCTGCGAACAAAGAGTGCAGCAGTGAAATGCACTGAAACGCTGACACTGCTTTGGAAAGTCTGCTCTGCCTCACACAGTTCATGCCGTGGCTGGAGGACCCAACAATCCCACTCCTATGTTTCTAGACAAAGGAAAACAGTGTCCACACAAAAGTACACGATGTTCATGTCAGCCTTTTTTATAAAGGCCAAAGGGAACAACAACCCAAATATCAATTAATGCTGCTGGACCTCTCAACACATGTGGCTACCCGAACAATGGAATATTAACAGGCAAGCCATCAAAAGAAATGAAGAACTTCTGTGTGTGCTGCAGCATGGGTGACTTGGGATTACTACACTAGGTGTAAGATGACAATCATGAACAAGTTCCTTTTATGATTTTGTTAATATCAAAGTCTGGAATGGGGAAATCTACACAGATACAAAGGTCAGTGGTTACTTGAGGCCAGGGGATCAAGCACAGGAGAATGATGGGTAAGGAGTATTCAGCTTCTACTTGGGAGAATGAAAATACTCTCTGTGGGTGTGATAGAAGCACATTTATGTGAATATCCTAAACTCCACTGAATCACAGACTTTAAATGGGAAGCTGTATATGAATTGGATCATTTTTTAAATTTTATGTGTATGGGTGTTTTGCCTGCATAGATGTCTGTGCATCACTCGCTTGGTGACTGTGGAGGCCAGGAGAGGGCATCAGATACCCTGAAACGACAACCAGCTTGGGGGCTCTGTAGGAAGAAGCGCACTCCTAGAGCAGGCTCCCTTTACATACGGTGACATCTCTACAACAAGGGCCTGCTCACAGGAACTAAAGAGCTGGGGCCCAAGAACGATGCCCTGCAATGAGGAGGCAATGTCTTTCAGAACAGCGAGCCTTGGGACAGGCAATCAAATTTCCTCAGTATCTACACTGGATGAGGGAGGGAGGAAAGGGAACCTATTAACTATGAGTCTTAAAACATAGCAACTCATTTCAAAGTGTGGAACTTAACATAGCAACTCATTTCAAAGTGTGGAACTTATCTGGATCCTGGGAGGGTGTGGCTGGGAGAGGCTGTGGGGTGGGGAGGGGATGACACAAGGTCTCAGGGTCTCACTGTACAGCTCTGGCTGGCCTCAAACTCACAAATGCCCTCTTGACTCTGTGTCCCCAGCACTAGGAGTAAAGATGTGTGCCACCACAACCAGCTTCTGGTTTTGTTTGTTTTGAGAAAGGTTCTCAGTGTAACCAAGGCCAGCCATAAATTCATGATCCTCTTGCCTCAGATTCTCAAGTACTAGGAGTACAATATGCACAACCATGGCTAGCTTCTGATTTTTAAGTATAAAAAAAGAAGAACTGTGTGTGGCATTTTAAAACTACTAAAATTTTATCAGTGACTGGGTATATAACATAAAGAAGTTGATAGTAATTTTTCAAGTGTGAACTGGTTGTGTGTGTGTGTGTGTGTGAGAGAGAGAGAGAGAGAGAGAGAGAGAGAGAGAGAGAGAGAGAGCGAGCGCGCACAGGCGCATGTTCATAGGTGTCAGATGGGCAAGTGTGTGCGGAGGCTGCAGCAGATGTCAGGTATTCATTCTCTCACCTTTTATACTAAGGCAGTCTCTCGTTGAACCCAGAGCTCACTGATTCATCTGGTCTCCCTACTCAGCTTACTCCAGTTCTCCCATCTCTGCCTCCCAGAATTACTGGTGGTCTGCCATGTTCTCCTGGTGTTTACATGGTTGCCAGGGATCTAAACTCCTGTCCTCAAGTTTGTATGACAAGGGCTTTATCTGCTTAGCCATCTCCAGCCCCTGAAATGTTTGTTACTGCATGCTTTTCAATATGTAGTCTGTCAAGATTAATTACTAAAATTAGATGCCTAGAATTTACTTTAATATAGAGTACAGGAAAAGGACAGGGTGTGCTAACTATGGGTTGACAGTAGCAATGGGAAGCTGATGGACTCATTAGTCTCTTCATACTTCTTCTGTGTTCAAAATCAATAAAAAATTTAAAGATTTATTTTTATTTTGTGTGTATGTGTGAATATCTGTATGCATGTAAGTGTACCACATGCCGGTACCTACAGAGGCCAGAAGCAGGTGTCAGATATCGCGAAACTGGAGTTACAAGTAGTTGTGAGCTACCTCATGTGGGTGCTGGTAACTAAACTTGGGTCCCCTTGAAGAACAGCAAGTATACTTAACCACAGAATAACGTGTTTTTAAATGTCAGAAAGCTAGTTTCTTATTAAAGTAAGTATTAAGAAAATAATACTTTTGTATGTTTGTGGTGTACACATGTATGAATGGATGTACCTGCGTGTGTGTACATGTGTATGTGGAGGACCGTGGGTTAATGTCAGGCTCTGTCTCAGTGTTCATCTTATTGCTGAGACAAGTCTCTTAATGAACTTGGAGCTCATCAATTGCATTAGCTGGCTGGCCAGTGGGCTGCAGGGATCCACTCATCTGTGACTCCCCGGCACTGTGGTCACAGATATGTGCTGCCCTGCCAGGCTCTTACACAGGTGCCAGGTGTCCAAGCATCTATCAGCTATCCCCAACCCTGAGAATACGTTCCACACATTCCCAGTCAGTGCTCTGCTGCTAACCGACACGGAGACATGTTTAAAGACGGAGCCAATAAGCTGGCTACGGTAGTGCCCACTGAAATCTGGCACTGGTGTGGCAAGAGGCACGGGAGCTCAAGATCATCTTTGGCTACTTAGCAAGTGTGAAGCTAGCCTGGGTGTGTGAGGCCTGTCTCCAAACAAAAACCTAAAGAAAACAAATAAATAAAACATGCATTTATTATGATACCAACAAGAACTAAAAACATTTTTAAATTAAAAATATACATTTATGCCAGGCAGTGGTGACGCATGCCTTTTCAGCACTCAGAAGGCAGAGCCAAGCAGATCTCTATGAGTTCGAGGCCAGCCTGGGCTACAGAGTGAGTTCTAGGAAAGGCCCAAAGCTACACAGAGAAACCCTGTCTCCAAAAACCTATATATATTTACTATTTGTATATTTAAAAAAAACCAATATAAATATATTTACTATTTGTGTATTAAGAAACATATATTTATTTATTTACTATTTGTGTATTAAAAAAAAATGGAGGTCAGAGCACAACTCATAGAATTGCTCCACTCCATCCACCCACCACACAGGTCCTGAGAACTGAACTCAGGGTTCCAGGGTTGGTGACAACTTTAACAATGCTGATGTATAGAGCTCTCAGCATCTGCTACCATAATGCAGTACCTCAGAGAAGCTGGCCTCTATGGGTTCTGTGCAGATGGGCATTCTATTGCAAGAGGTACCATCAGTTTGGAACAGGCAAAGATGATGATTCAGAACCTCCAAACTGGTTTCTGGGACAGAATACCAAAGAGTAAAGCACTCACTGTCACCACAGCATCCTCTTCAAGGCCTATCCTGACCTAACATGAAAGATACCTTATAGTCACACATCTACACCCCAGCAGCATTTTCAAATAGGCCTTTAAAGAACAGCTGTAGATCACAGAAAGACAGAGGAAACTGAGTTCCATATATCTCCTGTCCTCATAACTGCAGTCTCTCCTATATGTCACTAATGTCCACACCTGAGCAGTAAATTCAGTTCAGTGAGCCTACACTGGACACCATTACTATGGAAGTTCATCAAACACTTATACAACTTGTTAATCCCTTTACTATGTACAATTGACTGTTTCCAACAATTCAACCAATACATGTTTCCTAAACTGTTTTCTTACTTTTTTTTTCCTATATTGGCAATACAGCAGTAACTAATCTCTAGCAATAATATCCATTTATTCTCTGCTTAGACACCAACCCTTTAAAAGGTCCAGGTCCAGTCAACTCTTACTAGAAACCAACTTCTTTGCTGCAGTTGCCCAAGGGCAGATCTGGCACTTAGACGGTGGCCTTTGTGCTCCAACTGTATGCAACTTCTTAAGAAAACATCTGTCAGTTTCTGACTCACGTCTTTAAACTGCTGCTTCTAATTAACTGGTTATTTGGAAGTGGAATCTCTTAGAGAACTTAGAAGCTCACAGAAAAAATTCCCTATCTCACTAAGCTCTACGTCATTCCATTTAAAATGGAAAGAAAGAAGCAAATTAATGTCATTGTCATAATTAAAAGAATAATACATGAGTTGTAATCGAGTTTTTAAAAACTTAAAAAAGGATAAAAGTTTTCCTTCAGAAAACAACAAAAAAATGTTAATTGATAGGGCAGTGACTAATTAATTTCTCAGACCACTCAGTTCTGCAGTTTCCCACCAAGCCCATCTTCTTTAAATGCTAGGCTTTGATTTTCTGAACCAAGAAAAGGGTATACAAGATGAACAGCTACCTTTGATTTCTCTTCATTTTCTCTGTACACCTCTGCCATCTGCTCCTCCTGCTCTTCAATAACGTCCTTGAGGGTGTCCACCTGGTAGATCAGGTTGTTCTTCTCGTTGTCTAGCTGGGCATTGGACACCATGGCCTTCTTGTATTTCTCTTCTACTTCAGACAAAGATTCCTAAATGACAAAAACCATCAGCTCGATATCTACAACATGGCGGCTGCACATGAGTGAACGACAGCCAAGTATGGCCTAGTGCACATGAAGAAGCATTTCCACACCACACAAGCAGGCTAGGGACTCCTTGTTTAGTAGCGTGCACATGTAGCAGAAGGGTGATAAGACACTAATGCCGCCTTTCTGGGAAGTGTTCTCTTCGCATGCCAAGAACACAAAATAAAGCAGCGATGGAAAGGTGTGCAGAAAACATGTTTTTAGGAAGGAGAAATGCAGACTCATTAGCACTTTCAGACTCTCTCCTGCAGTTTTTAATAAGTAGAGTCTGGTGTTCAGAATGCAGCACTTCGAGAGAACACCGCCTCTCGCAGCGCAACCACCCTTCTCTGAATTCTGCCACTTTGGGATTTTGTTTCCAGGAGTTTCTCGGTGTGCATAATGCCAATGTGAATGGGACAAACATTTTAAATTACTCCAGAGCTATTGCACAGTGCCTGAAATTTCATATAATTCAAAAGCTTTTTACCTAAGATAGCATATACATTTTTTTTTAGAACAAGTAAGTTGGTAATTGTAATTGCCTATTAACTTATCAAAAGATAAAAAGAAAAACTCATTTAGAAAAGTAATCACTTTTGGAGATACTTTTTTAACTAGTACAAATGTTTAAAAAATCAAAATCAGTAAAACAGACCTAGGACCAGAACCTCACACATAAGCAGTTTTTGACAAAGGTGTCTACATAATGCAAAGGGAAGATGAATGACGCTGGGACAACTTCATTCTTTGATGAATGAAGACGAATGACTACCTAACACCACTCATGAAAATTACCTCAAAATGAACCAAAGATCTCTGAAGTGAATACAGAAGTAAGTCTTCATGACTCTGGGTGGGTAATGGTTTCTTAAACAAAAATTATACAAAAAGTACTCTCAGCTAAAGAGAAAAGGGAGACCTTATTAAAATGTAAAACTTTATACTGCAAATGGCAACCCACAGAAGGGGGAAAGCACTTTTAAGTGTTCTGACAACTGACTTCCATTCAGAACACTACAGAATCAACAAAGAAAGATCAAAACCCAGGGTGATAACAACTTGAATAGGCAGATCCCCAAAGAGGGTATACACATAGATGTCCAAGGGGTACATGGATGCATGCTCAGCATCGTTACTCATTAGAGAATGCATACCAAAACCACCCATGTGAGCCTATGTCTCATCTACTAAAATGGCTAGAGTCTGTAATCAAATCTTTAGATACAGGACTGAGGGCAAATGCTCAGTAGAAGAGACCCGCACCTCAATCTCTAGCAAGCTCCTTCCCCCTGAAAGAAAGGAGGATTGGGGAGGGTATGGTGAAGCTGGATCGCTTATGCTGCTGGTGGAAGTGGACGTGGCTACTCTAGAAACAGTTTGGCAGTTAGAGGCTAATGCTCTAACCATAGGATTCTGTAATTCTATGCTTCACAAACCAGAACTGAATACAGGTATGATTAAAAATAATATTGAGAACATTTAACTAAAAGCATATTTTAAAAAGTCAACTATAGAAAGGTCCAAATGCAATGGTATCTATTCATATAATACCAAATTTCATCTAAGAAGCTAACAGTGGAAAAAAATCCTTATCACAGTTCAGTAGCATATAAAATGGGGTGTGACTCCATGCATAACAGAATCCAAGGAAGCTCAAAAACTAGACACATAGACAAAATACATGATGCAAATAGGTCCATGTAGAATATGTACAGCATGATTTCCCTGTAAAAGCACATAACAGACTCTTAAAAGTGGGGCTGGAGAGATGGCTCAGTAGTTAAGAACACTAGCTGTTCTTCCAGAGGACCCAAGTTTGATTCCTGGTACTCACTACAGACAGCTCACAACTACCTGTATCTCCAGCTCTAAGAGATCTGATGCCCTCTTCTGGCCTCTGTGGGCAATCACCAATATACACAAACATAAATAAAAATATTTTTAAGGGAGACTTTTAAAGTGCCAAGGTGGAAAGATATCCTAATCTTGTTCTTATTTTGAGTCAGTTTCGTGAAAACACAATTTTCAATCCATCCCAGATCCACTGAATACAAATCCAGAGATAGAGACCAAAGATTTCTATTTTAAGTAACTCCAGGTGATTTTGGTGTATACCCACATTTTGAAGCCACGGTGTAAATGTTTTTAGGCTTTGATTATCTATGCCCAGATATTTCCCTAATAAGCATTCATAACCCAGTTGCAGAACCCTCTTACTTGTTTGGGAGTACCTGAATTCAGTACCTTCATCATTTTATTCTTAGTTCTCTGCCTAAAGTGGACACTTCATATACTAACCAACTTATAGCTGGTAAGATTCCTTCTCCTAGTCCATTAACTCTTCATTCAACAGTTCTTTCTGGACTTAAAGATATATCTATTCCCACTTTCCTACAAATAAAAGGTATGAACAGCCGGGCGGTGGTGGCGCACGCCTTTAATCCCAGCACTTGGGAGGCAGAGGCAGGTGGATCTTTGTGAGTTCGAGGCCAGCCTGGGCTACAAAGCGAGATCCAGGAAAGGCGCAAAGCTACACAGAGAAGCCCTGTCTCGAAAAATCAAAAAAAAAAAAAAAAAAAAAAAAGATATGAACAGAAGAACATTGTCTGGAAGGTCATAAACAAAATTAATCAATAATAATGAACCGGCACTTATGTCAGATAATCTACACAATGACAGATGAACTGCTCTTGTTCTCCACGTCTCAAATCCTAGGTGAGTGAAGACAAAAAGTGAAGACGAAAAGGCTGAGATGGTGACCAGCACATTCTAAGGACCTGATTAATCTTAACTGCTTGCCACCAAAACGTCAAGTCCTTGTAAAGGCATAGATACTTTCAGAGATTTAGAAGATGAAGGATGCTAAATTTGGGCTGGGGTCCCCAGAGACATAAAGCCCAAACTGTGCCTTCATCTCTCGGAGCTGGGTTTGTTCTGCTTAGATCAAGATTATGTGGTTGCTTGCTGAAGCTTGCAACAGCGAAGAATGCAGAGACTCAGCTGCCTAAGGGAAGCACCCAGCTGTGCCTCTCAACTTTCCAGAGGAGTTTCTAGATTCTACATTTTTATACACATTTAGGGTTAATCCTGGCATCTGAAATCTCAGTTTGTGTTTTTGCTGTTTTGTTTACCCAAAGTTTTTTATAGTTGTTTTGTTTTCAAGATAGGGGTTCTTGCTATGTTGTCCAGACTGGTCTGAACTCACAGGCTCAAGTCCTCTTCCTGCTTTAGCCTCCCAAGTACCTGGGGCTTCCAGTGTGTACCAAGTCTGGTTCATCCAGAGGTGTTTTTCTCTCTCCCCTCCCTCCTCTCTCCTGTCCACCCCACCTTGACTTCAGTTTGTTTTTGAGACAAGGGCTCACATAGTCAAGGCTGGCCTTAGTTTTTGCTCCTCTTGCCTCTCCTTTCCAAGTGCTAGGATTATAAGCATGTGGCATGCTGTTACAGCTACTTTTGGTTGTCAATTTGACTACATCTGGAATTAACTAAAACCCAAGTGGCTGCATACACCTGTGAGGGATTTTTCTTGATTGGATCATTTAAGGTTGGAAGGCGCACCTTAAGTCTGGGCCACACCTGGTGGCAGCCTATAGAAAGGACACTGAAAATGGGAGCTTTGGTCTTGCCTGCTTGTCTTCAGTCTTGGTAACAAGGTTAGTCCTTTACTGGTATTACAGACTACTTCTTTGGGATTCCGGCATATACTGATGACCACCTGAGATATCCAGTCTCACCTAACAACTATCGGATTCTTGGACTTTCCCTAAGATAACAGCCATTGTTGGAATAGTCAGACCACACAGCCTCTAAGTCACTCTAATAAATCCCATTTATATAAATATACATATAATTGTATGTGTGTGTATAGTGTGTATGTGTACGTGTTTGTGTATACACATACACACACACACACACACACACACACACACACACACACACACACAATCAGTTACATTTCTCTAGAGAACCCTGACTAATACACACACCAAGCCCAAAGGATCTGATGCACAATAATTAATAAGTTGTGGAGGAAAAAAATCAAATAATCAGTGCTAACATGGCTAGAACGAGTCAAACAGTAAAAGCCAACTACAGGCCCAATCAACGGTCTGACAAACCAACACTCCTCTCTAGTTCAGTACTCAGATATGAAACACCACAGTGTCAACTACAAATGCATCAGGTTTAAAGGCTCTTGAATAATGTCATGACTAATACCTGATAATAACAGCCTTTACTGAACATTTTTCAAGCTCTTCACATTGCCTTACTGCAGACAATCCCCTGAGTAGGTAACTCCTTCCTCATCTTTCAGATGAAAACCACACAGAGACTGAAGGACTGCAGGTTGGTCAGACAGTAATCACTGTGAAACACTATCCCTTCCAGAGTAATGGCCATTAGCATCTTAATCAGAGCAGTTGGAATTAACCACAACAGATTGGGCCTGTTGGGGCTGGAGAGATGGCTCAGTGGTTAAGAGGGCATACTGCTCTTGCAATGGACCTGAGTGTGGTTCCTAGCACCCAGGTAAAGCAGCTCACAGTAACTCTAGCACCTCTGGCTCCATGGACATGCACACAAGTACACAGACACAAATACACCTATTTTAAAAAAAAAAAAAAAAAAAAAAGAAAGAAAGAAAAAGAAAAAGATTAGGCCTATTGACATTCTCTCATAAGAAAAAGTGAAGAGATGTCATGAGATCCTCACTTAAAATTCCCAGCATTCCCTGCTCTCTGCACCTCCCTGCCCATTGAATGTACTTCTGCCCCAGATATATATCATCTAGGGAGGTGCAGGAGTACCCAGACTGGAAATTGAACTGGAGGGAGGCATCTATGCAGCTATGGGGAAGCCTAAATCCCTCACAGGTTGACATTCCAGTGATAGAACTGTCTGGGGGTCACCCATGCCCCTGTAAGTAAGCCCCAGGAGCTCACCAGCTCACCAAGCTAGGCTGGAGGAGAATCACTACTCTGGTCTGTTTCTGGTGCCCTATCTGAGGTGAGTAGACCAGATATACTAAGTGTGACCAGAGAAGTTCATGCAACAGGTTTTAAGAAAATGTTTAATAATTCTGAAATGTTAACTACCAGTTAAAAACTGCTCTTAAAAATACCTAAGCAAAAAATGTGGTAAGATTTTTATGGGGAGAAAAAAATTACAAAGCAAAATTCTTCCTTGCCTACCCTCCTTGCAGAGGCAGCAGAGACATGACTTGGGCTATTTCCTGTATCCACATACCCTCTTGCCTAGTTTAATGCGAACTGTATACATACATTTTGTTCCACAGCTTCCTATTTTTTCAATGTCATGAAAAGCTTGTACACACTAGAAATAGTTCAATTGTGTTCTTTTATTTATCCCTATAATTCTGTATTAAAATTCAATAATTATGCTTAATAATTTGTAAATGGATTTAATCCTTTATAGAATCATTACAGATCTTTTATATCATTTATGCTTTTTAATACATTTAACTCTATTTTCTGAGCAATACATACTATCAGGATACTCTATGGCATGGGGCAAACATTACAGCACTCCTTACTGAAGGAAGGGTGGCGGGGTCTAGGGCAAACACTCCGAACGTAAACACAATCACCACGAACAACGCTGTGCACAGTGAAGCAGCTCCCTTTTTAATAGCAGATGCCACAACACTACGGTCAATCATCAACCACATACATTTCTATTGCCATTTTTTCTAATTAAATGAATCATTTCAAGGATAAATAGAAATCTAAAGTCAAGTTCAATCATACACTGATAAGAATTAAAAGAGGGCATCTTACCTGTTCTAATTTCAAATCAAATTTGTTGGTATTTTTATTCAAGGAATTTAATAAATGATAGATACAAAACATGAGGACAATGTTTTAATGAAACAAACAACAGCCAAAGCCAGCTAGGAATTCCTCTGATGACTTGATTGCTGTCTGGATGTTCTAATGTACTGAGTTTGTTCCTTGTTGCAAGATGTAAGTTATACCACTGAGCCCTAAAGGTAGGATTAGACCTGAAGATTTAGATCAGTGAAAATAAATGGGCCCATCCACTGACGGAGCTCTCCTGATGTTTACTGACAGCCTCACCCCAAGGGCACTCCTCACAGGACGGATGCTCGTCCTTTTTGGTACCACGTCTTCACTGTGAATTCCTTTTGGACCACACTCCCTACATGAAAGCTGTGATGAAAGTCGAGTTATTTCAGATCATGAAGCCTGTTTGAAATGTGGCGTGTGCTGAGTCACCTCTGGAATGCCCTGCCTTCGCTCTTCTAGAGACTTGCTAGTTTGGATCTTAAGCCTGTCATGTCTAAAGAAATCTCTAGTTTCTTTACAATATCCAGCTTGAACTTTATACTGAAACACGGGATGGGGGGCATAACCAAATGCCAGGTACAACCAAATGCCTGCCTGACACATTTATACTGGCAAGTACAGACATCCTTGTGGGAATAGATAAAGGTCATTCAAATTGACCTCCAAATTATTTTTTGTAAAGATTAGATCTCTTAAATTTTTTAAATCACACTTATTATTGGTGTGTGTGTGTGTGTGTGTGTGTGCGCACGCGTGCGCGTGCATAGACACAAATGATGCCAGGACACACACACATGTGGAGGTCAGAGGACAACTTGCAGGTGCCAGTTTTCTCCTTCTACCATGTGGGTTCCAGGGATCCAACTCAGGACATAGGGCCTGGTGGCCACTCCTTTACTCACTGAGCCACCTTGTCAGCTCAGAATTCTTTTTTTTTTTCTTTTTTTTTTGGTTTTGGTTTTTCGAGACAGGGTTTCTCTGTGTAGCTTTGGTACCTGTCCTGGATCTCACTCTGTAGACCAGGCTGGCCTTGAACTCACAGAGATCCACTTGGCTCTGCCTCCCCAGTGCTGGAATTCAAGGCGTGCGCCACCACTGCCCGGCAGCTCTGAATTCTTTAAGACACTAAATATAAGTAATCTTAACTTATATACAGGTAAGAAAAGAATCAGTATGTATGCCTTCAGGTCCCTTCTTCTCAAAGGACATGACAAAGCTTCCTCCTTCCACTTCTAAGACTGACTGGACTTGGTGACAGAATCAGGCAATGTTTTCATTGAGCTGGGAAGAATTTCAAGGTCTAGTTCTCAATTTAAAAAAAAAAAAAATGTCCTTGGAATATTTTTAGGTGTTTGTCTAATGTTGTAGGCTTAAGACCCAAGGGACAACTAAACAAGCCGTAAAAATTGCAAGTTGCAAGGCGCTGGCTGTGGCAGCACACAGTTAGAATCCCAGCACTGAGGTCAAGGCAAGAAGACCATAAGTTTAAGACCAGCCTGGGCTACACAGAGAGTCCCTGTGTCAAAATAATAAAAGTACAAGTTATACTATCTTCTGCTCAGATTTCCCCCCAAAACAACACTAGACATGTGAACATAAGCCCAGACTGCAAGCTTCCCTTTCCTGTGCACTGCAAGTTAAGCACATGCTTGAAGGACAAAGGCTGTTAGTTAGTAAAGCTGTGAGCAGCAGGTTAATAGGACTCTGGAACCACCATTACCAACACTTCTGCATACAGAGCATGCGTGGGCAATGAGGAGCCCTGTACCTTCAGTTCCTTAAGCCCCTGCATGTATCTCCCTTCTACATCATGTATCTGGTCCTTCAGGTCATAGATGTCCTGCAGGACATAGGAAGGAACCGTTGCAAAAATATATCTCAGAACTCAAAGGAATCAGATGAAAACACAACTTAGTTTGCTAGAGAAATCCAAATATAAAAATGCAAATACCCCCTACTCCCAAACCACTGCAAGAGGCAAATCCTTCAGATGACAGTGGAACCAGAGAAATCAACCTAGTATCAATACTGTCTTAGCAGTGAATCCTTTGAAAACAGCATTAGAAAATGGGAGCAGGAATATAAATACATATATAGATAAATATATATATGGTAAAAATGTATATAAATTCCAACATTTTTAAATTTAAGGTTTTTAATTTTATAAATCACAAATATTTTTTAGTATAATACTTCACTTACAACTAGTAAAATACATAGTAAATTAATTGGAAGCAAATTTTATTCTTCATGTATAAGTTTCAAAAACCGAAATACAGTATAAAAACTAAGTCACTTAAAATCACTTAGTTACTGGGCACATTAATTTGGAAGAAAGAGAAGGAAATTAAACACAGTGAAAACAATTTCCAAGGAGAGTCTCTTCAGAGGATGGATAGATACATTTAAGTGATGAGAGGAGCATTTGCTCCAAATGTTTCCATAAATCCTTTTAAAAGAACTGACCAGCTTTTAAATGGAAAATATTATTTCTTGTGTCCAATCATGTCGTGTAAAGTCAAGGTGGCGGAAACTGCAACAGGACTCTGGGTGCAGCAATGGCGACAGGACGGACCGCTGGGGACCATCTTGCTCTATGCGTTCCCTGCCTATCTCACTCGTCTGTGGGAGGTGAGGCAGCCTTGTACTCATCGAATCATTCAGCAGACACTTTACTAGGGCCCATCAGGAGTCAGGCACTAGGACCCAAAAGCTCATCTCTTCAGAGGTTTTTCTTTCAAGGGGAAAAAACTAAACAAATGCTAAGTACTACGAAAGAGCTACCTAAGTCCAAGACTGGAAGAAGTTGTCTCAGTGTCCTGCTGTCCCATTAGAACGCAACCCCTAAAGGCAAGGCTTTTCCTTATTCAAAGTCTGTGTCCCCAGCACTTATGCCTGGTCACCAGTTCAAAGGACACTGACATCTTCCAAGGCATAGCTGCACTGCCCTGCCAACTGCCTTCCTCCTCCCGGCCGGCCGCTGTTCTACACCTCCTCCTGTCCGCTGCCCTGCAATTTCACAGACAGGCGCCTGCCCCAGGCCACAGTCACCCTCCTCTGCTAGGTGGCAGTGGAAAGGCATGGCCACGGGCATGCCCTCCAGGTAAGCCGGATCTCCTCCTGCCTTAGACACTGCTGTCAGCTGTCCTCTGCTCTCCCTCAACTCTCAGCCTCCCTTTCCACCTGCTCAAGCCAACCCATAGAAACATAAGCAACCTCACTTCTACAAAAAGAGAAGGAAAAGAAGAAAGGATACCCTTGGCTCTTCCCTCTCTCCCGACTCACTCTGCCACCCTAGTCCTCGGGCTGCAAACCCCTCCTCAGGGCCAGCGCTCACACCTTCCCCCTGGGGGTTTGCACTTGCCCACCTCACTGCTCAGGCCCGGGGCCAGCCTCTCCTGCCATCTAATGCTCCCTCAGGACTGTGGCCAGAGTCACTTTTAAGAACTGCTCTCCTATCCGATATAGCACAGCCGTGATTTGTGCCCCTAGATCCCCACCTCCACGCCTCACCCCCACCCCTCCTTCCTTGATCTCCTAAGCTCTGGCAAGTCTTCTGTACCAATAACCTTCAAGTTCTCGGAATCCATTCAAGAGAGACTTCAGCTTCCTTGCTTTACTTTTATTCTCCCTTCAAGACAGCTCTGAACGTGCTTCTCTGAAAAGCCTTTTGCTCTCTCTGTTCCTAGTCCAATTTACATGATGCCTTTCTGAACTAACTTAACTTGTTCTTAGTATTGCTGTATACTATTAACTGGTTTAACTGGCTCGAATCAGTTTGTCTTTTCAGTGATCTCCTGAAGGCCAAATATGATTGACTGTCTACATGTCCACTGCCAATTGTTCAAAAATGTGAGTGAGTGGGTGAGTGAGTGAGTGAGTGAGTGAGTGAGTGAATGATGAATGCAGTTGTTCTCACAAGTCTTGACCCAGATAACAGATTCAGCAAATAAGACAGTCAAAATAATTTTTGGTACATCCTCATCTTCCAAATAAAAGGGTTAATGATGGAGATGTAACTAATGGATCCAGTAAACTGTCCACTAGCTCAGCTATTTCTGTTGTCCATATACTTTACTATGAAATGCTGAGAAACTGTATTTAAGCACCTAATATGAGAAGGGCTCAAAAGGTCCCATAGTCTGCTATTCTTTGTAAATCCAAATATTTTCCAATTAAAACATGGCAAGGTCATTCTTGAAGAATTACTTTCATATATTTTACATAACTGTTTGTCATTGATAGAATCCATTACAATGCCATCACATCTTCAGAAAAGATAACTGAAAACAAGAATGATCCAGTCCCCTTCCTTTCAGCTCTGAAACATCCAAGTGGGATTTTGAGATGTGATAACCATGTTTTTACAGAAACCCTATTTTGTTCCTCCTACGTCACATTAAATGTGAAAAAGCTCCACAAACTACAAAGAAAGCCAGGCTGCTTTGCAAAGGCAGACAAACTGTGGTTTACCCGAAGTTCACTCAATGAGGTATCTGGGTCTATTAAGCTGCTGGTGTCCCCACTGCCCCGTCTGGATGAGTTCCCGCTTAGAGGTGTCGTTGCTGAGGCAGAATTTCGAGAAGAAGGCTGGAAAAGAGAGAGAATGACACGTTTGCTGTGAAGATTAAACATGGGGCATAGTGGTAGAAGCAGGTGAGAGCTTCAGATGAACATTCTAACAATGCAGTCGAGAGGTTACCAAGCGCAATTCACGTTGGCAATTTAGATTGGTTTGGAGAGAGAAAAAGTATCATTTCATTATCTCAAACACTTTACCAGAATCTAAAATTCCAAGGTGGAAATAATTTTTAGAGAAGCTTTTGTATTCTAGGCTTATCTTTGTTACATCCAAACACTACTTGGGTGAGCTCTCAGGCTAATGTAGAGTTGTTTTAGAACAACATTAATTGTTCCTAACTAATGTTTAATTAGCACTTCCCTACCTCAGTTCCTAACACTGCTTAAGCAGCTCATCTCTGCTGAGAAAGATAAACCTATTTGTAGCTAAGAGCAAGAACACTGTATACGGCTATGAATTTAGACGGTTCTCTCTAAACCCCACTCCTGACTAATAAACAGGAGATGTGTGCTACCTGGAATACTTGTCAAGAGCCATAGGAAACCACCTGATGTGTAGTTATGAGATATAAGTACAAAATATACACCAGATTTTGAGGGTTTATTGCAGAAAAAGAGTGCACAAAGTGCATCATCACAATCATTTCTAAGTAGAGTACAGTGGTGCAGTACTGTAATGCCAGCAATAGGCTGAGGCAGGAAGTCAAGGTCAGCCTAGGCTACATACCAGGACCCTGACTCAAACATCACCAAACAAAACATCTACATTGATGCTACTTTAAAATGTGTTGGTTATTTAGGTTGAATATTATTTTGCTTGTTCTAGAATGCGGCTTAAATAAAAAATTAAAATTGCATAGGCTTACAATTTTGCATTATAAAATTTAATACAATAGATCATTGCCCCGGCTTCTTAAAAATATGTTTAGAAAATAGAAACTTTACTACGGAGGCACTCCTCTACATCCGAGTTATCCTACTTTCCTTATAGACATAACTTAGCTATAAGGAAAAAAAAAAAACAAAAACAAAAATCAAAGCTATGGGTTTGTTGGTCCGTTCCTAGATATTTCATTTTCATGTTCAATGGTTTCTCGATATCAATTTTTAGAAAGTGGGACTCAAAGGAGTAGCCAAGAGCTTTAGGGATGACGTCCTGTGAAATAAAGCTCAGGCTTCTCTCTTCCCAGGGCTTTCACATGATCTAAGGCTGGAGGAATCCTGAGGGGTCAACGACAGGAAACAGACGGCGGGAAGGGCAGCTCGACTGGCCAATTGTGCTGGACAAGATGAATGAGTCACAGGAAGTGCAGGGCTGACCTTGAGAGCTCCATCCTATCAAGAATTTTATACTCACTCTTGTGTAATTTTCAGCATACTGTTTGTCCGATTTTTCATCCAACTAGAAAAAAAGAGAGATGAGGATCAAGAAGATGTACAGCATGCTGACTTGTTTCGTGGGGAGACGGGCAATCTCAATGGGGCTTTCCAAGTTCAGTGATGTGTAGAATCAAAAATAAACACATTAAAACTGAAATAAAAGTTATAACAAAATGTCAAGAATTTTTAGTTCACAGCCTAAGGAATACAGACCAGAAGCAAGCTGCATAAACTCAAAATTTTAGATTGTTTAGACTGATTTTTCTCTTCATGGTATTTAATAAATACATTAAAGAAAACTACATACAAACCTCAATATGAGCACTGAAACTGTCAATATAAAAATGTTTTAAACATTAAGACACAAAATGCACACATAAAACTATTGAATGCCCATAGCAGGTTATATACACACATGTGTTCTTACACACATAGCAAACGCAAGCAGTACAAAAAGGTGTAGGAAATCAGCCTTTCTCCCCACCAGGCCCTGCTCTGCCAAGGACAATCGACCCCAAGTCTCTCAAAATCTTAACAGCAATGTTGCAGACACATTCTCCATCTTCTTTTTCCCTTGCTTTCCCCCGCAAGCCTCAAAGTGTTGAGACTACTTCATTTCTCCTCATAGCATTTCCATAGCACACTGAGACACCGATCTATTTGTTGTCTGATCTCGATCATGCAATCCTTGCATCTGTATATCCTTTTCTGTACTCAGACAAGGAATAGCACTTAGTGTATACGGCTCAGAATCCACTCCACCCATCTGTACTCACAGGCTTCACTTAGTTGGGTATCTCCACAGTGACACATTATCTCAACATGCCACAGTCAGACTAACCTATCTTCTGTTGCTAACTCAGGTTTACCCAGCTTCCCAGACCCGCTTCAAGAAGGAAGGTTCCTTAAAGATCAGTTCCAAAATTCTAACTAGAGCTAAGGGAAAAAAATTCAGAGGTGGGAAACTTTGCTGGAGGCTAAGCAATTACTAACTGTCCCAGCTGTTTCTGGACATGTTTCATGAACTCCAGCATGCATATTTACTTGCATATACTATGAGCCATAGTGGGAAAAGTGACATAGGAACTTAAAATTAAATGAAAATAAAATATTCCCAGTCCTGAAATCTGAGATCAACCTTCCCAGCCCAATCCAGAAAGGGGATTTTAAAACCTTTTTTGGTGAATTACTAAACAGGAAGCATTTCTGCCTTTGCTCAGATGACTTTAACCCAACTTCCTCACATGGAAAAGTTTCTAGCATATTTTTTATTACCCAGTTATCATGTTTAATAAAGACCTTTTATTCAACTAGTACTCTTATCGGTAATACAAATGCTGGGTTTTGATGTTTCACTTCTTGCTGTAATACTTTCAAAAGGAAATCATTTTAATTTATTTGGATTTACTTAAAAGTAACACAAAATGTATTACAACAAGCAAGCAATGACAGCTGGGATTTTAATATTGCCACTTTCTGCACTAAATGAGGAAGAATTCCTCTCAAGCTGCACCGGTGAAAAGCACTGCCCAGTAAGTAGCTAGTGTCGTTCAAAGTAAAGAAGTGTATCTTCATAAACTGCCTTATTTTCTAAGTACTTTCTAATCCTTTTCTGCTAGTAAGTTAATGAGAAAAGAAGTACTCAAAATTAAAATATTCAAGTCTATCTGAAATCCTTTTCATATCACCTTTCTTATAAAAATGACCCCAAACTCACCCATTTTACTAGACCATCACCTTGGAATAATCTTACATTTCAGAAGCTGCATCACTGAAGCCACCACAACGTTGACTCTATCGTGTTCACTGTATTCTAATAGATCCCAACTGTCGCAACGCAAACTGATCATGCGCCAAACCTCAAGAATCGTTAAGCCAGCATAAAGCAGCCATGCCGCAGTCCAATTATGTTGGCTGCAGTGACTTGGCCAAAGACTCCTTCAGTCTCACTTCTGAGGCTGAATCTATAGAGGTGCACTGCAATGACAAGCTAATGTCTATAATGATGACTGAAAGTACCTGACAGATCTTGAAAAGCTTTTTTGAATACAATAAAATTTAATCATGCTTAAGGCATAAAAGCATACTCTAAATAAAATGTTTACAGTGCGGTTTGTTAAATGTATTCACTAGGTCACAATTATCCATTAACTTCTAATAAATGTCCTTCATTTCACATACTTGGGAAAAGAAGTGTTTCAAATTTAAGATTTTTTTCCAGTTGTAGAAATAATCATATATACATACTGAGATATCTTGGTGTAGACTTAGGTACTACATTTCACATATTATACACATAAGTTAATTTGATATTATAACAACCCAGCTTACATAGCACGATGAAGGTACTCAAAAACTTTTAGATTTTAGAACATAAAGAATTTTGGATTTTTGTATTAAGAATGCTCAAGCTTATAATGACAAGATTATCTAAAACTTGTTTAATGAAAAACAAACAAAACACAGAAAGTGGATCTGATTCCATAACCATAGAAGGGAAGAGAACAACAGGCTTAATGATTTCTGGAAGTGAATCTGGTTAAGGATTTCTTTCAAAAGACCGGTGCAATGGACAGTAAGCCAGCACACATTTCTTTTCCTTTATTCTACCCTGACCTACAGAGCAAGACTGGAGCTGACAGCATGTGAATCCTGCGTCTTGTAGAACTGGCTGGCTGGCACCTTTTCCAGCACCTCCTGGAGCCAGGATTCTCACTCTGAGCATACAATGGGCCCACAACATGGAAGCTAGAAAGCAGCTTGCAAAGGCAGAGCTGGGGACAGGGACAGATGACCAATATAAATCCCTTTTCCATCTGCTTCAATGAGGTGAACTAAAGCATATGCTTTTTAAATTAGAGAAAGTCACCTGTTTAGAGGACATTATCAGAAAAAAAAATTAATGGTATTTTATAGCTAATTAAAAATGCAAAAGGCAATGGCTTTCAGGCTATGAAATAACAGGAAGACTTTATTTAATAGCTCTGTTCTAAATAATCTTTTGCTTACATTAAAGAGGTATTTAATTCATAGAGGCAGGAAGAGACAAATTGTAACATTCTTCATTTCTATATAAATACTAAAGCAAACTGCCAAGAACGAAATGTACAAATGGTACAACCCCTATTCAGGCATCATGAACTGTGAGACTAACAGAGAACAAGCTGTCAAGAAAACAGGTGTATACAGTAAATTCAATTACATCTGTGGGGAAAAGCGGGAACCAATGGACCAGTGAGATGGCTCAGCAGGTAAAGGGCTCTTGCCACTGAGCCTCATGACATGTGGTCCCCAGGACCACATAAGAGGAGAAATCCAACTCCTGCAAGCTGTCCTCTGACCTACACATGTGCTCCATGCCATATGCTCACATGAACATACATACACATAAACATAGATGAAAATGTTCTAAAAATTAAAAAGAGGTTACTAAGCAGGTTAATAAAATAGGTAACATCTCAGAATAACTGGGAAACCAGCTTCTAATTTCATAATAGACCAAGCCATTGGTTCAATCCACAGCAAGATGAGATTGCTATATGGCCAGATTTAAGCTAATAATGTGGAATAATTATGACTACAATTAAAATAATTAAGATTTTCGAGGATTAAAATAGTTCAGAACTAGCTACTTCATAAGTGAAGTGCTAATAAAAACCAATCTCTGCATTTCTAAGAAGAACTGCTACCTCTCATCCTCTCCAAAGTGCTGGACCATCAGAATGGGGCTTGTCTGCATGACGCCAAGCCAGTGGGGAGGGGCTGGAGAGATGAGTTCAGCAGGCAGGTCCCAAAGTACATGAAGGGTGGCACCCACAGGTACCTCCAAGGACACTCTACTTCCACTCAGTCCCCAAGCACCAGGAAGGGTGTCTCAGACCAATCCAGAGTCCACATTCAAACCCCTTCAGCCTCTCTCTGACTACTGAAAATCAGTGGCATTTTACCAAGTCACATTCTTTATTATTCAGCTTTGAAAGTCTAACACTTAATAGACTTATCAAAACAAGAAGGGGGTAAAAAGTAAACCAAAAGCACCTGAATATGGGCCAAGTGTGAGCTGGTGTTAGGAAACTACTTGTTTATTTCCTTAGGAACGGTAGGTCAGGTATGCATATCAACTACCTGTTAGGAAATGACATGATGTAAATGGACTGGCTCTAAAATAATTCAGAAAAAAAGAACAGTGAAAAAAAATACCAAACAAAATTAGCATGACATTAGGAATCATTGAATATGCTAATGAGTTCTATAAGGGGATTCCACAGGGTAAAAGAAAGAGGATTTTAAGTACATCTTAACAAATATATTCCAAAATAATTATGTTTCAGGTTAATATGATCAAGTAAATATGTCTAAGGAGTGAATTAAATTCCAAACTTTAAAAATAGCTACTACATAAGCTGTTAGTCACATGCCTGGGATAACACCATGACCCCATGCAATGCACTCACGCTGGTCAAGTCTGAGATGCCGGCGGTGTCATCCACCTCAGAGACAACACTCCCCCTACGACTGGAGCGACTAAAGCAGTCAGCAGCAGAGACCTTCCAGTCAGAGGAAACGAGAAGCTTTAGAAGGCAGAAAGAAGAAACAAACACCAGCTAACTGGGGGTTGTGTGCCCGTCTTCATTTGATGTTTGAGAAAGTATCACGAAATGAGGAAACATTTACAATAGAGCTACTTCAAATAGTAAAAAAGAAAAGAGGCACCTAAGTGAAGTCACAGCTCCCTAAAATAAGCTCTCTCATCAGTATCAAGTGCACGTCTATGCTCAGACCATTTTCTGCCTGAGCTCATGACAAGCAAACCTTCCACACTGAAGCACTGGGAACCTTCAGCTGGTGGAGGCAGTGCTCCAGGCCACTATCAAATCTCTACTACAGTTTACAACATTATAATTCCTTATAGCTATCAACTCTGGCAATATTCAGTTTCCACAATAATTTCTTTCTTTTCACTTGTCATGTCAGGAACTGCTGGACAAAAGAATGAGGAAGACTAGCCTGGGAAGTCCTTCTCTTGCTCTTCAAACAGCTGATCCTCTTCTGTCAGAAGTCACTGTCTGAGGGCTCTCCCAGGGTCACTCACAGATCCTCTCCACCTCAAGGTCCTCTCTCTCACACTCAACTGCTCTTTTCTTCACACCCTGAGCTGTCTTCCTTGTGTGTTCCTTTCTTCACTACTTTAGTTCTGTCTTTTACTAGGACACAAGCTCTGTGAAGTCAGAGATCTTCCTATTTTAACACATCACTCCTAGCACTTAA